CGAGTTTCCATTTCCCTCCCAGATAGACTGAACCAGAATTTACATTTTAACAAAATCTGCAGATGGTTCTTAAAACTCCCCAGGTGATTCTTAAAGGTGATTATTTCTAGGACTCTGGTTAAATTGTAAGTTCTCACTCAGTATATATCTGGGATGGAAATGAAAGTTCTCATCAGGGTGTTGAACTGGCGTGAACCAGTTTGAAGCTCTGCTTTGATGGACCAGGTTCAGAAGTGGCACTCCTTGTCTTCACACCCCATTGGCTAGGACTTGGTTACCTGGCTCTCCTTTATTATGAAGGAAGACTGAGGAAGGCAAGGAATGACAAGGAAATGGTTTTGGTCATCAGCCTAGCAATGTGCTTCATGGAGAGCTGATGGGGAGCTTGGCACTTTAATCTTGCTCTAGCCCAAAGGCGTCATTCTCTCTCAGCAAGATGATGAGTGTTTCTAGACTCTCAAAGGTGAATGGGTTTCATTTGACTGGATGAAGCCATAGGAGCTGGATAAGCTCTACCTCCTCAGCCACCCTGCCCTAGAACGTGAGTAAAGAATATGGAAACGAGCTGGTGGAAGGGAGGCTTCCTTTCCACATCCTCTGTGCTGTAGATGTGAGCAGTCTAGGAGATAGGAACCTCTGGCACAGGAACTGGAAGGACCGTGAGGACATGACAGGCTCCAGCGTGGAAGAAACCAGGCACACCTCCTTCCTGAGGCCAGCTCCCTTTCCCAGAATGCACCACACTTCTGTAAGCAGTACCAGCCACCTATCTTTGCGGGACTTGTGGGCAGTTAACTGTCCCAGATAACTGTCCTGAAACCATGTTGATGCATAGGGCAGTTGACAGTTAAGCCCATGAATCCAGACTCAGTCTTTTCTCATCTAGTGGTTTCTTTCAGAGTTTCAAACCCATTACCTGTGGTACCAATCTCTGTTGAAGCTATTCCCACAGGGTCCTCAGTCCTCATGTGTGCATAAGAACATCCCGGAGATTCTGTTCAAATGTAGTCTGAGAGAGTATCTGAGGTGGAAAGGAACATTCTCATCGAGGGGGTTAAATGGATAAGAACTGGTTTGCAGTTGTCATTTCATTTGCTGTCCCACTGGAAGATACTGAGAATTCCAGAATACTTGTCTCACAGGGAACTTGTTTTATTGCTAGACTATAGCCTAGAACAAACTCATTTCATGAAGTCACTGGGAGAGAAATCCTGCGTTCCACTGATCGTGACTCCTTGTGCTTGGAGAACGGAACAAACCAACCACTTGCCATAAAGTCAATGCTGATCCAGTGTGATTCTGCATGATCTGGGCAGACCAGCAGCCTTTAGAGTTTTCAAGACTTTTGGAAGTTGGCTGCCAGGTCTTTCTTCTGAGGTGCTTCCAGTTGGTATCGAACCACGAGCCTTTCACTCAGCAGTCTTGTGCTTAATTAACTGTGCTTCCCAAGGATGCTCCTAACCCAAGAATTGGGTTCATTTTCTCCCATCCAAGTACTAACCAGGCCTAATGGATCAGCCGAGATCGAGTGTGTTCAGGGTGATATGGCCATAGACAGAAATGGGTGACTTTTCTGATTGAGTGGATGGCAGGGGTCTGGCATCCATCTGTCCACGTCACTCTGTCCTGCCATCTTGCTCTTTGCTGGCTCCTTTTGGGGACTAGCCCAATTGGAGACCCTGATTTCCCATATACTGAGACAGCACTGGGTAGAGGGGGTAAAATGATACACGGACATCAATTGCTATGGGTGCTGGACCAGCAAAAAAAATGCATGAACCTTAATTTAGCATGAAGGGTGCCATTTGCTTTCTGTAATCCAGGTTCATGACCTATAATGCAGAAGTTCTAACCCTGCTTGTCTCCTATAGCTATTCTTCAGTTCACCAGAACATGAAAGGATAGGATGTGAATTGTTGGCACTCTTTAGAACCCCAAGACAGATTGCCAAGTGCTTTTTTAACTGGCAGCTGTTGGGTTTGTTCCTAGTGGAGTAAAAAAAAAAAAGGAGGTACTTAGAGTTAGTGAAGGGGCCCACCTTGGCAGATGACAACTTGTTATTAAGGTTTCATTGTGAATGGGAGATTTTGTGGTTAAAATATGAAGGTTTCAAATCAAGAATGGTGTTTCCAAGAGGGCATAGTTCTCCTGAGTTTATCAGCTGTGTTAGGAGGCAATTTGCTTCATAGATTCAAAGACTTTATAAGGCAGCGGGTGTCGCCCTCACAGTTGATCGTCGGTTAGACAGGAGCCCTTTGTCCAGCTCTGTGAGCGCCTTGCAGTGGCACCAACCCGTTTTGGCCCTGGGCAGTCAATCTCAATTTGCGCCAGTTCTGCTTGTTGTACTTGCCAGCAGCATTTGCATGTTGGACTGAAATGTGCCTCCTGGTGGTTCCTTTCATGACGGTGCCCTCTCGAGCCACTGTATCCACTAGCAATTGCCACAATAATGGTGCATAATAAAGAGAGGAACTCCATGATAAACAACAATAGGCGTTTATTTTCACATTGATGGCTGAGCACGCTGAATGTGGATTGGCTGCGAAGGGATGGGTCTGGCTGTGTGGCCTGTGCTTCCCAGCTGTGGGGTGGCATGGCTTGGCTGTTTGTTCTCCTCCGTGTGTGTTCATATTAGATCCTGGGCTGAAGAGGAGCAGCCGCTATCTGGGGTGTAGAATTACCATGGAAAGTAGCCAGAAAGCAAAAGGGTGAGCCCGGTTAGGGAATCCAATTGTAAGACTTTGCTTAAGTCATGCCTACTGACGACTCATTAACTAAAGCAAGTCATGATAAAAGATAAAGTCCAGGGATAGGAATGTGTCTTTTGCCTCAACTGGGACTGGAAAGCCAATGACAGAGCCTGGATGGCAGTGGAAAACTGGGAACAGTCTTTCAGTCTCTCACGGCAATTTTAAAGAAGGTCACTTCCCCCTACCCCATGAAAACAAGGTTTTCTTGTAGCTCCAATTTTATTTCATTTTTTTTTTTGTTTTTTGTAATTCAAATGCTCTATTTTTTACTACATTTAAGATGAATTAACCTATCGAGACATAAGGGAAAATGAATGCTAACATTCTGCATTAGGAGATCTGAAAAGTTGCTAATTGAACATTTAAAAGAACATGTGATTTTGCAATAAATAAATTTAAAGGAGGGTGCCTAGAGGGAAATGATTTACTAGAATGAATAGTTAGAGAGATGTAGAAAACGAAATATGTATAATAGATGTAACATTTCCAAACCTGTTGAAACAATCTAAGAATCAACACAATGCCTTTGTGAGAAATCAAATTGAATTTTCAATGACAGGTGAAAGGTTTCTGTGTTGAAAAATAAGAGAGAATATAGTTTATTCATTCCTTTTTTTTTAATTTTACATTGGTTTGCATACAAAGTCTGTATACATTGTGTTTCATGTTATCCAAGAAGGTCACTTTCTAAAGGGCATTCCCTTTATTTTTCTTTCTTTTTTTTTTGTAGTAAAAGTTAAACACAGTGTACATGAATGATACACAGTGTGTATGACTTTGGTATGCAAACCAATATAAAACAAAAGTGAAGTGGGGGAAATGATATTGCATTTTCATTCATTCTGTTTTATAATAATAATGTAAATTGATGAATGTAATTATTTACAGTATCCAAGCAAGTGCCTTCTGTTTCAATGCTTAGAGATCGTAGGCATGCTTTCTGCAAACTCCAAGTGTAGCATACATAAACTTTGAGGTTGGAAAGGATCTGGAACTCATTCCTCTCTTGAGAACAAGATAAATTGCTCAAAGTATCATTCCAATGATTACATTTGTCTGCCTGTCTGTCTGTGTGTCTGTGAGATACTGAACATCTCTGTGATGCTCCTCAAATGCTTGACAAGGATTGGTTATTCTACCTCTCGGGCTGAATATTGTGGAATTGATTTTTTTAAGCTTTTCTTCTGATCTTCTTATTACCTGAATATGTTCTCCTTTGCATATGCCTCACTTGATATGTGATTCTAAATAGAGCTTCCTGAGTGACGACAATGACTTGTACTTGACTGCTAACCAGGAAGTTGGTAGTTGTCTTAGGGGTACAGCGGAAGAAAAGCCTGGTGATCTTCTTCTGTAAGTTTAACACCCTCGCCCACTCTATCTCACTCCTCAAAATCCAAACAGCTGCTGTGGGGCTCATTCTAACTCAAAGCAGCTCAAGTGTTGCAGTCAATGGTTAGAACTGCAGTGTGACCTTTCAGAAGCGGATCCCAGGCCTCTCTGCTTATATAAGTTTGAACCATTAAACTTTTAGTTTCCAGTTCATGCTAGCCTACGACTCCCTCTGTAATATTACAGCCATTGAAAGCTCTCTGGAGAGCAGGTTTGCTCTGACACATGGGAGGTCACCTTTTGTTGACATCTCTTCCACAGCAATAGTTTTTGTTGTGTTTTGATTCTCCTCATACTCAGTATAGGAACCCAGGTGGAACGGGAGTGTAAAACTCAAAGCAACGCCCATATCGTTAGAGGTCTGCTTCCACAGAAGCGGCCCATGCTTGCATGGGATTACGGTTCATCTGGAAAGAGTCAAGTTCAATACCTCCCAGCATTGTTATTCCATGCTTCCTTTGAGAATTGACTCATAGCTGACCCTCCTGTGAGTTTTCAGAGGCAGTTTAATTGCATAGGAGGAGATTTCCCACCCTCCAGCAGAGCGGTTGGTGGATTTTAACTGTATGTCTTCGGGATGACAGCACAGCTCCTTACCACTAGGTCACCAGGGCTCCCTGGTCCTTCTTAGTCTTTGAAACCACTGTGTTGAATTTGAAGCCTTTATTCCCAACAACAGAAGAGGCTGTTTGGGCTCAGAGGAGAACTGTGGCTGCCTCAGCTTACCCACGCTCTCCTGAGTGAATTATTCTGTGACCTTAGCTCTGGCCTCACCGTGTTTGTGATTGCAACCTGTTTTCAGAAGGATTTTCTTTCTCTCTCTTTGCCTCTGCCCCTGTCACCTCTGCTACCCTCCAGGATCCTTCATGATGGTGAACAGCTCGGGGAGGGCCTCTGGCCAGAAGGCCCACCTGCTCCTACCAACCCTCAAGGAGAATGACACCCACTGCATTGATTTCCATTACTACTTCTCCAGCCGAGACAGGTCCAGCCCGGGGGCCTTGAATGTCTACGTGAAGGTGAACGGGGGACCCCAGGGGAACCCTGTCTGGAATGTGTCCGGGGTCGTCACTGAGGGCTGGGTGAAGGCAGAGCTCGCCATCAGCACCTTCTGGCCACATTTCTACCAGGTATGTAGGAAAAGGACTGTTTAACATACTTTAAATTTGACGAGTGTTTTTTTTTCTTAAAAAATCAATATGTGTCTTCTCTGGTAAAGAGTTGTTAGATCTAGAAAGGACTTAATTAATTCGACTGATATTCATTGAGCTCCTATCCAGGCTCCGGGAACCCTGATGGCACAGTGATTAAGCACTCAGCTGCTAACTGAAAGGTTGAAGGTTCAAGTACACAGACCATTCTTTAACAGGAAGCAAGATAGGATGGTCCTTATAGAGACTGAGTTGGGTCACTTGGCGTAATGCTCTCTAGACTCTTCCATGTTATATAGAATTTTATGAAAATATTGCTTCTAAGTGAGTAGTATTCCATTGTGTGAATGTACCACGATTTCTCAATCCATCTGTCGATTGATGGACATTTGAGTTATATGCATTTTCTTGCTTTTGTGAATAATACTGCTATGAACACAGATATAGAGATCTCCTTTTGTGTCTCAGTTCTGTTTTCCTTCCAGCTGGTTTTTTTTTTTAATAATCAGTGGGATTTTACTTGCATGTGATATTAATGAAAGTATTCAATTTCTGATTTTTACTGAATTACTATTTATAGTTGGTATAAATATAGATTTCTTACATTTGGTTGGGCATTTAGCTATTTCTTGGGTTCGATGAAGAAGCACATCTGTTTGTTGAAACATCTCAATTCCATCAATTCCTGGGACCTTACAACAATTATTTGCCAATGCTTTCAGTGAGGCTTGGGCTCTGTGTATCATTGGTTCTTGATTATATGCTACTTTCTGAGATGGTTTAGTGTCCACCAATTCTTTTTGGAACAGTGATTTTGTGTATTCTTTCAGTCTGTTTTTGATGCTCCCTGCCTCATTGAATATTTTACCATATAATCATATAATGTTACAACTTGAGGCTTTCTAAATGAAAGTACGTCTCTAAGTCTGCACATTTTGTTACACTTTGCTTCTTTTTGAGCGGTCCTTTGAAATCTTCTGTTCGGCTCTCTTATTTTGTCATATCTTTCTTTCTGTTTAGCTTCTCAACATTTGAGAATAATTATCAGAGTATATTCTGAAATCAATTTTGACCTTCCCCCCCCTTTTCTTTTTAATAACCTTTTTGTTTTCTTCACATATCATATCCTGGCTATCAATCCTGTAACTTGTGTAGTCTTCAAGTTGTTAGTATTCACTGAGCCAAACTATTCTTTTTTAAAATTAATTTTAATGAAAGTTTACAGAGGCTTAGGGTTTCCATTCATTCATTGTTGCACTTTTCTCCCTGCCCCCCCCCCCCCAAGAGCTGTACTATTCTTGATGTGGTTTTTAAATCCAGGTAGGACAAACACAGGTTTATATTTCGGCTCCCAAGGACTTGTTTTTTCTTTGGCTTCAGTTTATACTTGTGCATGAGCAGTTGGTAGTTTGTTCTATACTTGGCCCCTCAACTTGTTATGATTGTGCATATTGAACTTTTTTTACTGTTTCGTTCCACATATATAGCAAATTTTATTCCTGAGTGTTTCATCAGGCAAGATCCAGGTGTATAGTGGCTGTTTATTTATTTTTTTTTAGTAGAGGCATTTCTGATTAATGTCATTGATTGCTCAATATTTTATTATATCCTCTCCAGCCTCATTTCCATCACCAAGGATATTTTATTTTCCACTTACCAATATTTTTGTTTGTTTGTTTCCAACACGTGCAATCTTAGCCACCAATCTTTACTGATGCATTATTACTGATTGTTATTAAGGAATTGTTACTCTTTCTTTAGAAGATTAATTTATAAGCAAAAATGTTTATAAGTGAGAGCCCTTGAATTTTAATATGTGTGGCACATGTTTTACGTTCCAGGAGTGTAATTTGTAGGGATTTTTACTGCTGATCCACAAACCTCACCTCCCTGGTAGCGTCAATCCACCAGCAGCTCCTTGGGAGAAAGGTGAGAGTTCCCCTGATGTTCAGTTTACAGCCTCAGAAGCTTGACGAAGGGTCCACCGGGACTGAGCTCCAACTTAGCAGCAATGAATTTTTGAGTTTTACAGCTTCATGAGATACCTAATCATCCCAGACTTCAGTATTTCTGTGTGTCTTGTCTTCTCTATGCAGTTTGTTTTCACTTACGCCAGGACCATAGTCTTTTATCTCTTTGCTTGATGTGGATGGACATTTATCCCTTGGACCATTCATTTCCCAAGATGAGCCATGATGAAGAAGAGTGTGTGGTTAAGATGAAGTGTGTTTTGGGCAAGCTGCATAGTGTATCTCCCTTTAAGGATATTCACCATTAGTCTAGCACTGGTTTGGAAGAGTCTGAAAAGAACTTATTTAATTTACTGACTTTAGCTTCACTTGAAATGTGAACCTCTTTTTTGGCACATATCTCACAGAAGTGATTGCATTCTAGAGAGAGGCAGAGTCTTGGTTTACCTGGGCCACTGCTGGTTTATTTTTGGCTCAGTGACTTTTGTTGAATGCCTCTGTTTTACTTTCTAATATGCCCCAGTTTGGTGATACATGATGCAATCTCTTACCCATGGATAATGTTCATGTAGCTTTGATTGTTTCCCATTCTGTAGACCCTTTACATTTGCTGTACAGGGCCAAAAAGAAACTATATTAGGCTTTGTGGGTCATGCTTCTTTTGTTCACTAGTACTTAACTCTACAATGATCCCATGAAAGCAGCTATGTAAATCAATGAGCATAGCTGAGTTCCAATAAAACTTTATGTAGGGAACAGGTGCTGAGCTGTATTTGGCTTCTAGGCCATGAATTATTGAGTCCTTTTCTAAGCAACGATGCTGATACCTAGAGATAAGCAGTGAAACACAAGAGAACACAGGCATGGAGAAAACCTAGGCCAGAAGTTTCATAGTCTCATAGACTTTTCACAGTTTCATAGACTTTCAGTGCTGTAATAATTCCATTTATAAGTCTCAGACTTTAGGGCTCCAGTGAGAAATGTCCTATCTAAATACACAAATTGCTATAGGATAGGACTGTTGTTATGTACCATCAAGTTAGAACCGACCCATAGCTGACCCTCTGGTGGGTTTTTGGAGGCCGTTAATAGCATGAGAGGAGATTGCCCAGCCTTCTGCAAAGTCGCTGGTGGATGCAAACCATGTGCCTTCGGGATTGCAGCACACCTTCTTGCCACTAGGCCACCAGAGCTCCCTAGGATAGGACTACCAGTGGAAATACAATAAGCAAGAGGATTCAGAAAGGGTATAGCTTTTCCATTAACCATACTCTTTGATGAGTTTATATGGAAAATTAGGGCACTTCTTTTTTTATGAATATTTTTGTCATTCATATACATTGTGTTTCAGGCATGTCCATTGTTTGTTTTACACAATCTTTCCTTTACATTATATTTTGTTCACGTATATTGTGGGTCATCCCCCCACCCATTATAGTCATCTTACTTAACACCCCTATGCCCCAGCCTTTTGGTATGTACGCTGCCCCTTAGTTATCTGCAGACCATCTCTAGGTTAGTTAACCACTCGTGCTGGCTTCTACTGCAGTCTCTTGCTGTTATGTACCATCAAGTTAGCGCAAACCTATAGCTGACCTCCAGCAGGTTTTCAGAGACAGTTAACCACATGGGAGGAGATTGCTCATCCTTCTCCTGCATTTTTCTTGGTGCACTTGAACCAGGTACCTTTGGGATCACAGTGCCGTCTCTTACTACTAGGCCACCAGAGTTTGCTAAGTCTAAGTCCCATAATCCTACTAATCTTTTGGCTCTAGCCTCCACGCTCTGCCTGGAGAGAAGGTGGCTTGCCCATTCTCAGAGTCTTCCATTGACTAGTTGTGAGACGTTGGGTGTCCCCTCCCCTCCCTCTGAAACAAGGTCATCTCATTTCACAGCTCAGGTGACAGACACCACGAAGAGTTCTTCTGTGGATGAGATAGGATACCATGTAGCATTCTGTCATGTTTACAGGAGATACCCAGCAGATGCTGAAAGGAAGAAAAGATAAAAGGAAAAAGGGAGGGAGGAACAAAAATGGAGTAAGGAGTAGGAACGTAGTTGTTATTGTTGTTAAGTGCCGTCAAGTCCCAGGCGACTCATAGCGACCCTATGAAGGAGAGTCCTCGACGCTTGGGTGCCTTTCATCCTCTCTCCAGGTTCATAGGGTTTCCAGAGGCAAGCTATTATGGAAGTGGATGCTACTCCTCCTTCCAAAGGAAGGCAGAAAGGAAATTTTATAAGGAAGGACCGACTTTTGTTTACCTTGACTTGGTAACCGCTGTGCCAGGCAGCCTCTCCTTGATGATTTTCCTGCTATCCAGCATGTCAGCTACTCCAGCACCATCCCGTTTCTTCTTTAAGCTTCACGGTGAAAAACACATCATTAGGGAACACTGGTGGCCTAGTGGCAAGACACTGTACTGCAATCCCGGAGACAAGTGGTTTGAATCCACCAGATGTTCTGCTGGAGAAGGAGGGGCAATCTCCTCCTGTACAAGTCAGATCCGATTTGACGGTACACACACACACACACAAAATAATAAAATTAAATTAAAAAAGAAAAACACATCGCTTTCTATGAAGATGGCACCGAAAGCAAAGAAGGAAGCCCCTGCCTCTCCCAAAACTGAAGCCAAAGCAAAGGCATTGAAGGCCAAGAAGGCGTCCTGAAGGGCGTCCACAGCCAAAAAAAAAGAAGATCTGCACGTCACCCACGTTCCGGCGGCCTAAGACGCTGAGACTCAGACAGCAGCCCAAATACCCCCGGAAGAGCGCCCCCAGGAGAAACAAGCTTGACCACTATGCCATCATCAAATTTCCCCTGACCACTGAGTCAGCCTTGAAGAAGATAGAAGATAACAACACACTTGTGTTCATTGTGGATGTCAAGGCCAATAAGCACCAAATTAAACAAACTGTAAAGAAGCTCTATGACATTGATGTGGCCAAGGTCAACACTTTGATTAGGCCTGATGGAGAGAAGAAGGCCTATGTTCGACTTGCTCCTGA